ATGTAAATAACAAAATTGTTTTCTTTTTTTTTATCTTTAAATAAATAACTAATAACTTTAAATTATAGTGAATAATTATATAAAATGATATTTGATGAAATTAATTGAAATGAAACAATATTAAAGACCGTAAGGAAATTAAATGAATTCCAGGATATTAAACCTTGGAACGTGTTTGTTTTCTTTAAAAAAAAATCAATGGTTCAAACGTTCTGACCTTTTTGTGTCCAAAATTGATCCTATGGAGATAGCCGTCAGGTTAATGGTTGAGAAACAAAAAATAAGCTGAATATAACCAAATTTCTTCAAAAAAATGGTACAATAAATCTTCCTACAGGTCCAACTATAAGATGGCTTCCAACAAAATTTCAACGAGGTATTTGAAGTTAACTTATCGTTGACATTATACGGATAATTCGATAACGGATAAATTATATCGTACACTTGCCGCCTAAAATTCCATTTACACACATTAGTTTTAAGTTAGAAAAAGCTTCCTTTTTTTATTCTTAAAAAAAAACTTTTCAAAAAAAAAAATTATAGTAAATGATTGAAAGTAAGCAATTAAAGTGAGTTAGATTAACAAAATAAAATAATTTCGGTTATTACCTTACCTCACAGTTGTTAAAGAGGCTAAATTATTTTCATACGAAAACGACGTGTTTTTCTTAATCCGGGAAATCCGATAGATAATAGATTTATACAAAAGAATGTTGAGTGAATAATCCGCCAAACGCGAAACTGTCTACGACTAACGAAAAATTTGTCCAAAATTCCAAAATGTCGTATAAAAGACAACTTTAACCACTCTTACATTTAACACGATTCGCAGTTTATTACCAAGTGATCGAGACAATTTCCGGCAATAGCCTAAATACCCGTTTCAAGGATTTCCAAAAAAAAATACTTTACAACATGTCAAACTTATACTCGGAACTCAAATCAAACACCGTAATAATTCGCGTAAAACCGAAATAGTAAAAAAAATCGCAAAATTTAAATTAAGTGTTCTGAAATTTTAATAATAAAGAGAAAGAAAAAAATACCAACTAAATTGTGTAATTAAATTACTCTAACCCTATCATCTAAAGTTCAAAAGCTAAACCAAAATTTGGTACAAAAAAAAAATAAATAAAAATAGAAATTTTGTCAACAACATCAACCCTCTGGCGTTCTCTCACTGAAACACAACAAAACAAACAAAATATTCTTAAACTGCAAAAAAAAATCAATAATATCGAGCTTTATCTTATATTAAATAAACATAAACAAGGAACAAAACAACATTAAAAGGAAAATAAAAGGAACAAAAATGAAACCGTAACAAAGTATGTTCCGTAAAGAGGCGATGTTCTACTAAGGCCGTAGCATTAAGAGGCCTTCACACGATCAATATACTATATTGTCAATATCTGAGTAATTACAATATTATTGAACGTGTGAGTAGAAAGATTGACAGATTGCCAATATTGAAAATATTGATGGGATGGTTTGACAATAAATATTGACAGTATGAGGGAGAGATTGACAATCTTCAATCTTTTGGAGTAGATATGCGAACCTCATTCAACAAATTCATGTGAGAAAACGTGTCTCTCTTTAGAAGCCATTCCCTAGCCCATATTCTCTTTTTCTTCTGGCGTTTTATTGTTAAGCTAAAATAATAGCTACACAAGCTTTTTGGTGGTATGACATCTTTGATTGCCAGCGCAAAACTAGTAGAACGTCAATAAATATTGATAGTCTGAGGCAATTACAGTTTGTCAATATTATATCATATTGACAATATATATTGATCGTGTGAAGGCCGCTGTAGACTTTTTTAACCTATAGTCCTTTTGATGTTGTTTGAGTCTATTTTTTAGATATTGGCTTTTTACGCCTACATAACAGCCACTGCAACCCCGACAGTTAACCTTATAAACAAAGACACATCCAAATCAGGTGGGTGAGTCAGAGACATTTATTGGGGGCTGACCTATAGTCTATGTCACCAGAGGAGAGGCAGCCGAAGAATCAGAAAAGAACAATAACCAGTTCATTAAAGAAGGGGGGAAGCCATTATTCACAAAGATGGTGCACAGAAGCCTCAGATTCTTTAATCTAAAGGTGTGCACAACACGGTTCTTCATCCCTACAAGGGTTCATTCTAGAAGGATGACAAGAATAGAAGTTGACAAACCTTCCTGAATACGTAAGTTTACAGTACCAATCCAAAGCGATTGACTGGTCCATAGTGAATTGGATATTGTGGTTATGTGCATTAAACAAGTTTAACGTAACATCCAGTTGACTCGATGGAAGAGCACAAATAATGTCATCGACATATTTGAATAGAAAGGGCAGTTTAAAGGGGAGAGCAGGAATCCATTTGTCCAACACAAAATCCATCACAACGGTAGCCAGGATGGGGCTCAGGGGGCTACCAAACTTCTGTTTGTATGTGACTCCCTCGAAGGATCCTGATCCTATCCTATCGATGGCAGTGCCTAAGGGGATGTTAGTGAAAAGACTCACCACATCAAGGGATACGAGAACAATCCCAGGGGGCAATATATGTACAAGCTCTGACCTTTTCAGTAAAGGTGAATGAGTCTTTGATATTGTATTGAGTACGGCCAAAGAGGGCACTTGAGAGAATCCCCGCCAAGAAAGAGGATATGAGGGGATGATCGGTCTTAAAGGAACGGTATTCACATAGATTTTTAGTAAGCCATAAAATTTTGGGATGGTACCATTATGGCAAATCAGTGCCAATATCTAAAAAATAAACTCAAACAACGTCAAAGGGACTGCAGGTTAAAAAAGTCTAAGTAGAATATCACGTCTTTACGGAACATACCTTTGACTTCGAAGGTGCACCTCATAATTTGCTCGGAGCCATCCTACCTTAAGCGTCTGTTTTTGGAAATGTTTTACATACTTAGGGAAGCTGATTCCGTCAATTTCCGTTTTGACGTTCAGAATGTCAGTGACATTTACTGTCATTTAATCAGTTTGCATGACAGTGCACGTCACCTTCATCTTGACAACTCTTCTTTTGGGGCTGTTTGGTTCTAGTCGCTCTATCGGCTCTTTATATTCCCGTCGGTTCTCTCGTATTGTCTTTCTCTGAAGTGTGTGTTACTTCTAGCTTTGTTAATTCAACGTGGTTGATGCCAATCTTGCGGTGTTTTCTATTATTTAACATCTTAGACGTGTTATGTCAAATTAACCCTCTAATCGTAAGTAATGTGCCACCGTCTTAGAGTTCTTGATTGTAACGGTTCTGTTTTTATAAAACATTGTTACAGAGTTTTCAGTTAACTCTGAAGAAAAATTCAATAAAATTCGATAACTTAGGCAACAAATAATAAAGGAGGCTTATTAATTTATCCCTTCTGTCAATTTTAAAGAAAATTTGATAAAGATTTAATGTGCCATAAATAGCATCTTATTTTCCATAAACATCGTTGTTATGATTTTTTAAATCCATCTGCATGTTTGACTGTTATAGATTTGAAATATAGATTTTAAGAATATCAAAAACGAATTGAGATATTTATCATCATAAAATAAAAAGCAATTTAAAGGAAATTTGATGAAGATGTAATGTGCCATAAATAATTTCTTATTTTCCATGATCACTGTTCTTTAGTATTTAACATTTTCAACATCATTTCTTCAAATCATCAAATTTATGAAATTTTTAACTCAACCTTGCATAACCTTAAATATAAATGTTAGGGTAATTAATCTTTACTTATCTCAACAACTAATTGAGATGTAGTGAAATAAAGAACATTTTAAAGCAAATTTAATAAACATTTGATACACCATAAATGATTTCTTATTTTCCATAAATATCGTTGTTATGATTTTTTGAATCCAACTCTGCATCTTTGATTGTTATCGATATGAAATATAAATTTTGAAAAACCATGTCTCCAGAACGAACGGAGATATCATCATGAAATAAAGATCATTTTAAAGGAAATTTGATGAAGATTTAATGTGCCATAAATAATTTCTTATTTTCCATAATCACCGTTCTTATGATTTTTTAAATCGATTTTGCATGTTTGACTGTTATGAATTTGAAATATAGAATTTTAAAAAATCGTACTTCAAGGACGAATTGAGATATATCATCATGAAGTAAAAAGCAATTTAAAGCAAATTTGTTTAGTATTCATCACTTTGAACATCATTTTATCAAATTTCAGATTGATAAATATTATTTAATATAATATTTAATTTTGAACGCAACCTTAAATATAAATGTTAGGATAATTAATCTTTACGTATCTCAAAAACTAATTTAGATATAGTTATGAAATAAAGAACATTTTAAAACAAATTTAATGAAGATTTGATGCACTATAAACAACTTAGTAATTATCGTTGCTATAATTTTTTTAATTCCAAATCTGCATCTTTGATTGTTATATATATGAAATAAAAAATTTAAAAAATCGTAGCTCAAGAACGAATTGATATTATCATGAAATAAAAAGCAGTTTTAAATTTACAAGAATTCGAAAAATGTAAGTGTATAATACCGATTCAGAAGGTAAATACATCGTATAGAAAGTAAGTGAGATAGATACATTAGCTAAGCTGTAGTTACCGTTTCTGCCCATTCTGGTGGCGGCTGACCAGTATGCAAATGGCTCCATGGCGAAGGATTTCGAGACTAGTTTGGGCAAGTTGTTCTCGCACATAAGCACTTTCGAACTGTTGAACCCTTAACACTATCATTCTACCCGATGAAACTGACCGTCAAAGACCGCTTTAAAGCCAAAGACACAAATTTCGCCTGCGATATCCGTTCGCAAATTACGGAACGCCCCAATCTCAGCTTGTGTACTTACCTTCATTGTTTAACAGCTATTTCCTTTAAGTTAAGCGATAACCAAAGGTTATGTTGAAATTTAGATTGGGAAATTGTAATTGAATTATTAATTAATTTTCTTTAACTCAATTTTAAGGATTAATAATAATAAAACACAAACACCAAAAATTGTTTAAGAAATTATATTGAAAATACACGATGGAGTTACAACAGGTAGATAAAGTAGTGATCGATAGCTGATCAATGACTGAATAAGTCGATCAATTAAAGAATAAAAATGAACTATCCATACACGTTTGTCGTTTGCGAAATTCAAACATCAATAAGAGTTTCCTTGATCTTTGATGATACAAAGACGAGGACGAGATATGAAGAGATCACACTTATTAAATCATCGGATATTTTAGTTATAACATGTCATAGATCGCGCAATGTGTATTTACAATTTGTACAAAACTTAAAACGATTGTGCTAAATTCACAACATCCCACTTTGTTTTTGATATAGGTATTTTCCTATAGCAACAACTTAAAGTCTTTGTCGCTTAGTTCTATTCGTTTATATACATATTAATATCAATTTATTATAATTTCAATATATTACACAATAGTCTTCAGGTATATTTACAATTATTTAATATATTTCTTGTTAATGTTACATGTATATTTAAACTTATAGTTAAACTCCTTTAACGTTTTGTAGAAAATTTAAAACATGCCATCTTTATACACGGAAGTTATAATTAAAGCTTTATGTGGTGAAATAAAGCTTTAATTACTTTAATCCCTTATATAATATAATCTTTTACTCTTTCTTTAATTATAATAACGTTTGACTAGATTAAAAATATTTTCTTTATGATTCCATTAACTTACGAATCGAGTCGTACACTGGTTTTGTTCGAGAAAACTGTGACGATGATAAGTAACATTGATATTCGCCTTTCAATGCGTTTTGAAATGTAACACCGATATGTACGTCTTCATTGAAGACAGAAAGATGCACGTGTTCTTGTTCTTAGCAGACGAAGGACATCCAAACCACGAGGTAGCTATGGAATACTAAGAGGCCTTTAATATTGAACGTTCCCCGTCCGTAAAAAGTTTTCGCCGTCAATCGGAGAAGAAAATTTCTAATCGTAAGTAAATCTTTTCAAAATATCTATAAGTTTGATTAATAACCAACTAATTATTGTCTATCATCCCCCTCCACTGAATACATCGCCAGTTCATATTGGCGATGTCTTTGGTCTTTAGACGTAAATATATGTACACTTGACTATCCTGTTGCTCTTTGAAACCGGGAGGCGATTACACACAGCTTTCCTGCTGGCAACCCATTAGGGGCGTCCTGACGGTGACGATTTCCCTCTGATAGATTCCAGTCTTCGCCGTAGGAAAGAGGGAAGCGGGAGAGATTAATGGGGACGGGAGTGAGCCCCTAACAGGAGCAGGTGGCAACTTCTTGCTGTGGTCGATTTGCGCGTAAATTGTTGAATCGTCCGTGCGACCTCTAAGTGTTCCATACTGACCTCCGCCATTCTTAACCGGATCCAATGAATTTGGTCTCACCAGTGAAAGTTCCGCGTAAGTTACCTCGTTGCTCATCTAAAAAGAAAACAAATCTTAATAAAAACAAATCGAAACACAAACTTTAATCCGCTAAAAAGTCAACAACATCCTGTTTTTCTTGGTTATATAATGGATGCTCATCCTGATCTTTCGATCTAAGACATTCACCTGTTACGGTTTGCCAAAAGATAGTTATTTTAAATGGAATGGTACGGTTTTTATTACATATTCAAATTCTTTGTACCAAAATAGGTTGACTTATATGATACTTAGAGTAGAAATAATGTTGAAATGTTAAATTTCGTTTTCTCTCTAAGCACGGTAAATTTGACAATTTCTTCTTTAATAATTTTTTCTCTGGAAATTTCAATAATATTATTTTATAGTTCTATATCGTATCATAAACTAAAATCTTTAAGCTACAATTCAACATTCATACCTTATCATGATTCTTAAAATACAATCGATATGATTTTCTGAAATTTTCGTATTACTTTTGATTCATATATTTGAAAATTTCTTCCTTAATAATTTTTCTTGGAAATTTTAATAATATCATATTACAGTTTTTATATCATATCATAAAATGGTATCTTTAAGCTTCAATTTAACATACACATCCTATCATGATTTTTAAAAATACAGTTGATATGATTTTTTGAAATGTTCGTCATACTTTTGATTCATAAATTTGGCAATTTCTTCCTTAATATTTGTTTCCTCGAAATTTCAATAATGTTATATTATAGTAGTAGGAATCTTTAAGCTTTAATTCAACATACATAGCCCATAATGATTCTAAAAAATACACTCTATATGATTTTTTGAAAATTTCGTCTTACTTTTGATTCATAAATTTGGTAATTTCTTCCTAAATAATTTTTTCCTGGAAATTTCGATAATATTATATTACAGTGTTTATATCATATCATAAAAGTATCTTTAAGCTTCAACTTAACATACATATCATGTCAACATTTTTAAAAATATCGTCAATATGATGTGTTGAAAATTTCGTATTATTTTTGATGTATAAATTTGAGAATTTTTTCATAATTTTTTTCTGGAAATTTCAATAATATTATTCTAATTTTTATATCATATCATAACCTCGAATCTTTAAGCTTCAATTTAACATACATATCATATCATGATTCCTAAAAATACAGTAGATATGATTTTTTTTAACTTCGTATAGCATTATTTTTGACTTATAAATTTTGGCAATTTCTTCTTCAATATTTTTTTCCTGGAAATTTCAATAATATTATCTTATAGTTTTTAATCATGTGTTGAATATTTCATATTATTTTTGATATTTTATAAATTTGAGAATATCTTCATAATAATTGTTTTCTGGAAATTTTAATAATATTACCTTCTAGTTTTTATATCATATGATAACCTCGAATCTTTAAGCTTGAATTTAACATATACATATCACATCACGATTCCTAAAAATACAGTAGATATGATTTTTTAAATTTTGGTAATTTCTTCTTCAATATTTTTTCCAGGATATTTCAATAATATTATCTTATAGTAGTGGTTTTTATATCATATCATAAACTAGAATCTTTAAGCTTCAATTGAACATAAATATATCAAGACTCTTAAAATTGCAGTCGATATGATTTTTCAAAATTTCGCATTATTTTTGATTTATAAATTTGGCAATTTCTTCAATATTTTTTTCCAGGAAATTTCAATAATGTATTATCTTATACTTTTTTTTATCATATCACAAACTAGAATCTTTCAGCTTCAATTTAGCATACATATCATATCAAGACTCTTAAAAGTGCAGTCGATATGATTTTTTCAAAATTTCGCATTATTTTTGATTTATAAATTTGGCAATTTCTTCTTCAATATTTTTTTCTAGGAAATTTCAATAATATCATCTTATAGTTTTTATATCATATCATAAAATAGTACCTTTAAGCTTCAATTTAACATACATATCATATCAAGATTCTTAAAAAAATCGTTGATATGATGTGTGAATTTGAAAATTTTTTTATAATACTTTTTTTCCAGGAAATTTCAATAATATTATCTTATAGAACCAAAAAAACAGGGTGTTGCTGATTTTTTGGCAGACACTATATACATGTTTAGAGGAGTTATTTATAAAGAAGTTGTTATTTTAAATTATTGTACGCTTCTTTCAAGAAGAATCAATACTTCCGTACTCTGTTTTCCCCAAAATCAATAAAGAAAATCCAAGCTAAAATTGCTAAGAAATCCTTATTCACGTAATACTCTATCACACTGTAGTTTAACGGTTATTTCACGCGAATAAAACATCTACCTGTGGTGATAGTAGGTCGGAAAGAAGACGGAGTCTCACTCCAAAAGGGGGATGCTGCGGTATTTCGGATTTCCGTATTGCGGAATGTAATTTGTCGACAACGGGCGGAACATAAGTAGATTTATCTGTTGCGCGAACTCATACATGCCCGCGGTTTCGCACAGGATAGAGCAGGTTCTTTGACATTCTTTAGCGCATACGGGTTAGTTCATTTACAGACGAGTTACTCTCACCAACGTTTCTATAAATAAGCAATGTAGAGTGGCGGTTGTGGGTATCGAATTCACGATGCAGTGCAAATTCTTGTTTTCGTTAAAATTAGATTTGAATCGAAATGATCGTTTCTTTGTTACAACATGCTTGAATCGATAGTTTCACTTACAATATTCAAATTAGTATACGTCTTTGTAAGAAATGTAGCGACCCTATAAAAAAATAAAGAAAAACACAAACCAAACTTAAAACATCTGCTTGTTAAGTATTCAAATCAAAATTAAGCAAATTTATAGTACAAGTAAAGTTAAAACTTACATGTTGGGGTGTATACGATCTGTCCCTGGCGATGTATGCTTCCTGAAGAGGGGTTATATGTGCGGTCTGAGGTGCGGTAGAAGCTACTTCGTAATCCGTGGAAGTCACCGAATTGTTCAGACCAGGAGTTTGTGCAGCTGACCCAAGCTGATAGTTGGAATCTATGCGGAGACATGCCGTTACTTTAGAACTATGCATTTCGACATCGACCCAACTACCTTTATTAGCCGGCACAACGTCGGGGTTTTTGTCGTCCTTCTCGAACAGATCCTCGGAGTCGGATCGCAACGGGAGGGTGACCTTTTCCTTAACAGGTAGGAATCCCGGTCTGAAAGCTCTGCCCCCGTTTCTTTGTGAGGTTCTTATTTTCATTGCGCCCAATATCACAACGGTTATAAGCAGCAGTACCGTGACAATTCCAACGAGGATGCCGAGAATGGGAGCTATCTCGATTTGATCCCTCGTCCCAAGGGACAGTACTGAAAAAGAAAAGACGAGAGTTAAAAGAAGTTTCCGCAATTATATTTTGGTGAAGGATAATTTGGAGAGGGTCAGCGGAGGAGGCGATAGCCTTCGTTACGTCCCCGAGGAGACTTGTGAGAAAAAGGTTCTTCATCGAGCTTTTACTCCTGAAACTTCAACGTAAAACTTTTACGTTTGACAGGAGTTTTCTTTAGAGATTGCGTCTCCTTAATATTTCTTTAATATTTTCCAAGGATTTACCTTTGAAAATAGAGCTACATATACAGGCGTCCTATACATGTTTATTACGGTAGTTTTATGTTGAAACTACCACCGATTTGAAACACACATCGGTAGAGGCGGAACACATTTATTTTATGAAAGCTTTTATGAAGATCATAATGACACGGTTGAAACTAAGGCTCAAGTTTATTAAAACAAGTTTGTCTTGGCAGTAATAAACTAAAGCTGTAACGCAAAACGCAGTGATGTTAATGATGGAAATAGGTGACTTCCAGATAATCTCAATAACATGATAACACATGACAAACCTGTTGTACAGGCTACCTCAAAATAACGTTCATATTTGATTAGGTTGTTGCGCAAACTGGAATTTTATTTTCCGTTGTTTCGAGGTTCGGGTTACAAAAGTTTCATTTTACTGTAATCAATACGAATGCTGGTAAAAAATTTATATAAACGAACACGGAGAAAAAATTCATAAGAAATTTCAAGCAAACCATATAGGACCCGATGGAAAAATTGATGTTATTGAAATGTTACTTTGAAACACTGCGTCACGGTGAAATATGCATGGTACATAAGGGGGTGGAATTCTAAATTACACCATATGAAGACGTCATGTAGTAGCAAAAATGATTGTGTTCATGACCGAAATTGTTTCCAGATCATTAAAAATTCATCAAGGCTATGAATTCCATTCTTTTAAATAAAGTATTAATAAACAACATTAAAATGACTGTCCATATCATTAAGATATTGATGGAAGAAAATCCACACAATTTAAGGGTCAGCAGACATCCAGAGTTTATGAAAAAATGTACTCCGTATTGAATAAAGCTAAAGTCGAATACCTATAGAGCGACGTTGCCGAATTCCGGGGCATATCAAAGCTAACGTAGAGCAGAGTGAGCAATACAGAAAATTAACACCGTTTCTAAATGACAGAAAAATCAGTTCGTTCTCTTTGGAGGATAAACAAAAAGTCAATTAAAGATATGTCCTAACTTATTAATAAGTGTAATGACTGGAGCCAGTTTAAAAGAAACGTAAAATTAATGAATTTGATCAACGTTAAAACATGTCCCAACATGCTGGAAAATTGCTAACGTAATTATGTAATTATCATACACAAACCTAGAAGTCTGGCACCAAAGGTTAGAAACCAAACTAAAACTTCCAATGCCAAAATAGTACTCTGACCAGAAATGGTGCCTACTACCTTTGCAAATAATACTGCACTACTTGCTGTGGGTAGAAACATTGATGAACCTACGAATAATCTTCAGATCGTGTTAGATCATGTTAACACGTGGACTAAAACCTGCAAAATAAAATTAAACAAAACAATAAATCTGCGACCATTAATATCAATGTTATTCCTACATATAAATATTGCAAAGTATGAACTTGGATGCTAAATCATGATGGAAAGAGCACGTGAAAAAGAAGAAGTTGTTGATTTATAGCAACGCATTAAACAAGTTTGGGCCTAATATTATACAAAGATTCCAGAACGAGGTATTAAGGGGCAAATACATCTTGGTACATAAAGAATAGCTACATCCACAGAGAACTACAGACAAAGAAGAAATTCATAAATAAAAGACTTCTTCGTCATATTAATGAGGAAGCCATCCAACTCAAGAACAGCAAATGCTACCATAAAAAGAATCTTCAGAACAGCGTGGATGTACATGGTGAGATGGACCTGCAAGATAAGATGGGAATGGAGAGACCATGTTGAACGCTTCAAGATTAACAAGGATAGTTAAAGATGGACTGCCAAGAGCAAATAACCCCCACGAAACACTTCCTATATTCTGATATGAACCATAGGCTATGGACGATTAAGAAATAAGACAGATGTTATAAAGAAAGAAGAATTCAGTTATTAATGTATGAGGAATTAACTAACAATTAAATTCTAAGTCGTTCCATAATTAAAGTTTCAATGAGTTCAATGCAACCAGCTCAGTTTGACTATGGATGTGAATTTTTCCAAAAAAAAACAGCTCAGTTTGACCCTTAAATCAATACCAATGTTTAACCGATTTATTTAAATTTATATTTAACGACAATTTAATTTTATGGTAGTAATTAATTCATCAATTAATTCAATAGTAGTTGCTAATTCAAAACCACTTCTAATTATAAATAATTTTTCACTCAATCTGGAAAAAAAGAAGTCAATACCACATCTTTTATTTATCCCTATTAATAAATTTATATACTCCCGAAGGAGATAAAATTGGAAATTTGTCATCAAACGTTAAAACAATATTGAATCTGTTTTAAGAAAGAGTATTTTAACTGCATAGATTAAATAATTCTTTCATTTATTATTAATTTAATGTAATGATGTAATCCGTAGTGGTTAAACATTTGTAAGTACAGATTTGTAATGTTCCCGAGACTGATCCCGCATCCTTGTAGGCCACCGTGTTAGTACGAATGTATTCATGTACAATGCACATACGAGATGACATTCAAGAATGGGTTGATCGAGTGGTATCGGGAACGGAGGGATGCCTGCGGCATGAAGCCTCGACAGTAATACATCTAGAATTGAATCATCGTCGTGTGTATAGCTTTAAGCTGTCACTAAAAAATCGTAAACTAAAAATATACAGAAATAATTTATACACAATCATTAAAATAACTTACCAATTTGTTTTTCAGCAACTTTTAAAGTAAAACCTTCCAACACCACAGCTTCACTTCTCCCTTTTGAATTAGCAGCAAACACTAACATTCTTAAAATTTTCCCCGATTCTAAACCACTGATAGTAAACAAAGGAAATTTTGCTGAGACATTAGCTTGTAATATATTGGTTTGTTCATCAAAAACTTCTAATAAAAAATATTGTTGTTGACCACCATCGAAGCTTTCCACACATTCCACTTCAAGTGATTCCGTAGTTTGATTCAATATAGAACAATTATGCGGTGGATCCGGTTTTCCTGCAGCAATTATATGGAAGACGCAAGGTTCTAATTGAAGACCGACAGTGTTCTCGGCCCAACACATCACAGTACCATAATCGAGTTCTGTTATTGGAGTGTATATTAAAGTGGAAGAAGTCAGGTTGAATTTATATCTTTCGGGTGGAACATCATTCCGTTCGGCCGAGTTATTAAAGGACCATTTAAAATTAGTTGGAACCGGATAAGATTCCACCTCACAATAAACCTTTGCGTTTTCATGTCGTGCGACTCCATAAATTCTTTTTTGATCTGATTTACAAACCGGAAGATCTGCAAAATACAATTTAAAATTAATGATTAATTTAATGCATCGATTAATTACATACACATAACTTTCAGTTCAACCGAGTTACTATCGCCATCCCCTTCAACGTTCGACGCTACGCAAGTATAATTACCCGCTTGGCCCTTCTTGACGCTTTGAAGAGCTAAATTTTCGCCTCCACTGTTAATAATGATACCCATTTTCTGATTCTGTTGCAAGATTTGTCCCTAAAACCAAGAAACAAAAATGAAAATTTAGTAAAGACGCCAACCGAATTGGTGTAACTTAACAAGAAACTCAGTTTGCGTAACCTGTCTAAAGCACGCTGTTTATCTTACTGTGATAAATGGCATTTCAAATTACACCGCGTGACACGTTGTGATATGGGCTTACCCTCATCATTCGTTTGTGGCGTACAAAATTGTTTCATAACGCCCTCTCTCGTGCCAGTCACTCTGTGTATACCGTATCATTTCGTTAGAAAACACTCTGTTTGGCGAGTACTTTTTAATGAGTGTAACGAACAAACAAAGTTTTGATGAGAGAATTGATTTTAAATTAAGGACAACCTCTTCACGAATTGAAGCTAATCGATAAATGGCAACGAAATTTGAAACGACCTAATCAGCACCGCTGAAACTGTTGATTAAAAGCGTTCCGAGTACTATTTGAAAAAAAATGGACGGCTAATATTTACACTGTTTAATTAAGAGATTATCACCATTTAATTTAAAGATAAACAGAATATGTCTATGAAAAGGAAATCCCCTCATCGAATGTTATTTGAGTTGGAAGGCCAAACAAGCTACAATCTCGTTCGGAATTGTGCACATGCTGCCGGGATTGTCTGGACGTTTCCCATTTCAACTTCGTCGAGCTTTAAATAAAAGCGGACGGTAGCGCGATTAATAAACGAAGTTCTGTGTACCGTTGGCGAAACAGAAAGTTCGTTGAAGCAATCTCCACTGGCGCTATCTGAAATATGGTGACAATTTCATTTAGGTCTCCTTCTGCTAAACTGCGATTTCGTGCGGTTGGCGATGATGAGAGCTAAGGGTGTGTCTTCAGTGTTTATTATACCCTGCCAGAAGAGGACAGTAATTGCGGAGTGGACGTGCCTAGAGTTTCCCAAATTCCGACAAAGGACATGGCGTATATTACGGAATTCTCTTGTAGAAGAATAGATTTGTTATGTGCTGACATTAATTTTGACTTTTACTTTCCTTCTTCTCCCTATTTGTGTTTGAATTAACTTTTATTAAGATGAAAAATATAAAGTAGTAATGTTGTAAACACGGTTGACATAATATTTGCCTTTAGGAGTCGAATTCGAAATCAATACGAGATTGCGACATCTTGATTTGCTTTTCCTCAAATTCGGAGTACTTTTTACCTTCTCTGCTATGCAAATCACTGCCGGGGAAAATGTAGTGATTATATATGCGATGTCGTTTGCTCAGACACCCAGGGTGCAAAAGTCGAGAGATGGAAAAAAGCTCCCGGTGTCGCTATTTGCACTAGGGCACGAGTAAACTCATTTCATGTTGTTCAGCGCCGGGATTTTGTCCTCGCCGAGTGCCCTTCGAGCTTGGAGTTTTTAATTTTCCGTTACGACCCGGTAATTAATTATTTAAGCGCCGGATACGTTATGCTCGGAACAAAGTGGAACGGGTCAAGCGTGCGAACCAGGATATGCCTATCACGACGGTTTGAATTTAAAGCTTCTCAATAGGAAACTCATTATGTCCACTGTAACTACATACCGTGCTTTTCACGTAGTCTCATAGATTTTCCCATTACCGTACCATTATTATTATATATTCCATTGTATCCCATTTTAACGAATGAGGTTAATAATTCACCATGTAAATTCCTTTAAGCAGTGCCGCGAAAGAAAAATTAATGATTCGCGACTCGACGTTAATGATCTCCCCGCCCTATATAACAGAACATTCTTTTGTGACCCGTACACTACTCGTAGGTTGATACAAGGATTGTGTAACTATCGCTGTACTGCTTCCCGCTATATTCAATTTCAAATTAAATTTGAAACTCGCTGCGAATGGAACCGTTTATCATCCGCGAATTCAGACAGCATGCGGATCATCCCTTTTGTTGCCGTCATCATTTTCCGTTCGTTACTTCGCACCCTTCCATAAAATCTTTATGTCCGTTGTGTATGGCGGCTCATTTTTCAGAGGGATCTCTCTTATCGTCCACGAAAACGGCCAAGTCTCGAAATCTGGGAATATACCCTTGTGAAGCGACTTCATACATCAATCTTTTTCCCAAAAAGTTAACTTAAAATACACGCTATAATCAATATAGTTATAACTTTTGATTCAATGAGGTAATCGAATGTTATAAAATTTTTGAAATACGAGAGAAAAAATGATTAATGTCATGAGACAAATGACCCGTTTTGTTTACGGTGTTCGAAACACATTAGAGTGAAGAACGACCAAATCACGATAGCCACTGGCGAGCTCAGGTTTAAAAACTGCATGGGCGATATAATCTGACTGGAATTGACAACGAAAATTGTGCACGAGAATAAATGGAGCAATTCATCAAAATATGAGATACGGGAGAGATTTAAATAGCGGAGAAACGTCGTTTTGCGGCCTCGGGATAAAAAGTTAATCTCCACGGGCCCGGGCCAAATCGATTTCGTATGCTAATCAATCGTTTCGTGGACCTAACAACTCGACGTGCTAACAGCCCCACGTTTTCACCGCAATGGACCAAAGGTGTCCGGGCAAATGCCCCTTTTGACATTCGATCCTGTCGAAACACATCGTCGTTCATAAGAGCCACCCTTTCACAAAATTGCGACCGGAAAGCAGTCGCAGTTATTCGTGGTCCCGACAGGCGGTCGGTTGCGCCAGTGACGCCATTACAACCGGAAGCAAACACGAATATCTCCCGGAAGTCTCCCAAACGTGCGATAATGCAAACTGCATGGTTGCGCTTAATTCGGTTCGGGTTAAATTTTAGATTGGTTCATAAATTTTGTTCGCACTAAGCAACCGGGAATGAAATATTCTCTTCAGTATGCCTTAGATTTTATACATGAATTTAGTTTGTTCAGCGAAAGAGTGCTTTACCTCGGTCAACGCACGTGCGGCCGTTCAAGTCGTAAGAAAATAAGTTTTTTTTTGATAAATCCAAACAGTCAATCCCAATCTGTACAATGGAAATAACTGCTAATAAGGATGGTTACAGTTAGAGTATAGGTGTTCAATCGCGATATAAACCACTCGACTTAATAAAATGACATAACACTTTCGCTGCAAACAAAGCCGAGGTCGCTAGTGGGCGAGGAATTAGAATATATGTTGTTCAATATGGTAGCGATTGTAGCCCCTCGGCCGCAAGTGACCTTGGCTGATTTTATTAAATAACATAATATTTTCGATCCAAACGAAACCGTGGTCGCTTGCGGCCGAGGCATTAGTGTTGTCCAATATGGTTGCAATTGTAACTCCCTGGCCGCAGTTACTTCGGCTTAAAAAATGACATAGTATTTTCCGCCCTAACTAAGCCGAGGTCGCTTGCGGCCGAGGCATTAGAGAAACCCAAATTAACCAAGTACCCAACACAAACAGAAATTCTTGAACAAACTCAAGTTCATATACAAACCTAAACTCTAAGAGTTATATAATATGAGTGTTCTGGATGAGACGCACACCGTAACCGAATAGAAACATTACACTAACAATCAGAAATCTGTAAGGCGTTATAGGAGGAACTGAGCAGGAACCAGGGGGGAAAAGAACAAAAGGAAGACGTAAAATGACATGACAAGATGAATCGGAATTGGACTTGGAGAAGGAAAAGAATGGAGACGTGACAAAAGGAATAAAATAAAGCAAATCACTCGTAATAATAATGTGAGAATACAACGCTTCTGGAATCAATAATATTGTACCCACCATGATACAGTTGCCGTTAGAAGAACTGATTCCTTACCAAGAGTGAGTTTTGCAAGGTTTCATGGTTTTCGTGATGATTGGTGAAGAAAGTAATTTTGCTATACCGGAAATATAAAGTTTATTATTAAATATAAAGCCGAGGTCGCTTGCTGCCGAGACATTGGAGTATATGTTTCAATATGCTAGTAATAGCAGCTTAATAAAATGACCCAAATAAAGCCAAGGTCGCTTGCGGCCAAGGCATTAGAGTATACGTTGTCCAATACGGTATCAATTGTAACCCCTCGGCCGCAAGCGACCTCGGTTTAATAAAATGACATAATGCTTTCCATCCAAACTAAGCCAAGGCACAAGACTATATGTTGTCCAACATGGTAGCAATTTCTGATTCAAAATCTCCTTACCTACCTCATTAACGGATAACATGATAATAAACATCACAACATTGCAAAACATCAACTACAATGGAATTAAATATAAAAAATTCGAGTTTTTTCATTATAAAACAGGTGAAAACTTTAGAATACCAGGGTACATATTACTAATCTACTAGAAGTATAAAAGTATGTATATACTATAATAAAACCTACATATTACATATATGTGTTCATCTGGGGCAGTGTTCTTCATCCTGTGTTCCGCGGAACCCTAGGGTAGCCGTAGGGGTGTAATGAACATGTTTACGATGATAAAAGAGCAACTGAACGACATAAGAGAAGATCTTGCAGAATCACGTAAAATCAACAAAAAATTAGAAGATGTTGCCACTGAACAAGAAGCAACAATAGAACGGCTGGAAGCGGAAGTAAACCGTAAAAATTTAATTATACGTTGGATGTAAGATGAAAAGTTGGAATCCTTCGAAAAATGAACAAAAGCGGTTTTGGTTACGCGAGATTGGAGTCGATATCATAACCGATCATTTAGATAATACGAGCAGAATCGGAAGATACCAAGACTCCAAATCAAGACCAATACTATGAAAACTAACAACAGAAATAATGAAAAAAATAATTTGAAGCAACTCCAAAAAATTAAAGGGATTTAATTAAAGATAAGATTAAAGATATTTGGATCGACCAAGACTACTCTCAAAAGTACAAAAACAACGGCGCGAGTTGATACCAAAACTAAAAGAATTGCGTGCAGAAAGGCACAAGGCTGTCTTAAGAAATAATAAACTGATTGTTGACTACAAGGTATATGAAGGAAATACTACAAACCCGGCGCCAGAGAGCACTCAAGACAAAAGAACTATTTAGCAAAGATCGCCATCTGATGAATTAGAGAAG